CAATAATACTTTTTCTGAAAACGCGTAACCCTTTTTACCAAACAGATCGACTACGTTCTGTTTCGTCCAATTCGGTGGGCTGAGCCAGGAATGAGCGAGTTACACTTAAGGTGTGGTTTTAGTTGCTAGACCATTGATGACAGCCAGCCCATTCACCCAAGTTCATCTCAAGAACTCCAACCTCTGTCACTGAACAAATAGACCCATGATTCTCGTACATCGCTCGGATTGCACCATAAGTCCAAGGCTCGTCCCTGGTCGCAATTACTGTGGTCAGCTTTGGTTATTGAGCTATTGTCAATGTTGGAGGAACTACGAGCAGTTGTACTTTAGCTGTAGTGCTCACGAAACAGTGGGTCACCCTTCATGCTTATCGAGTGGCGTCCGGTTTGGTTTTCGCACACAAGTAGCATGGCTTCACCGACCCACGTCCGTCACAGAGCTCGACAAGATGCACGACTGAGGTTTGTCTCATTTCAACACAGCAAGATCGTGGGAAGACAGATGATCAATTCGGGGGTAGAAAAAACGTGTGATCACACCCTGTTGGAGAAGCGTTGTACGCAACGCTTACTGTTCCGTGCAAGTCAAGTCGAAAATCCTTTTTTGATGTTATTTTGCTGTGTGTGTGTGTGTGTGAAGTGTTTAGAATCTCCACGTTTTGGGTTGCGCGGTATAGGCGATGCGCTGGAAGAACTTTAGAAAAACCGGCGGTTTTTGAAATGTTGTGCGCATTGTATTGCATTGTTGCCTTTCTGTTCCCTCCATAAAATACGGTTCATGATACTGTTATTAATTGTGAATACCAGTCGAATCGAGATCATATCTGTCAGGGANGGGAAAGTTTCACACACCCTCCACCACCACTATCACTTCACGGATGTCAATCCGGTTGAGTTATTGATCTTTGTGCTAGATTTAAGAAACTGTGAACCTGCGAAACCGCTAATCGCTCATGTTTATGTGTTGGTAATCATTTTAAGCTCATCCAATCCTCCTCCCGCCCCCGTATGGTCACTTTCATCTCATAATAACAGATGCTGGTTTTGATATTGGTCAAGCGGCTTCGGTCGCTGTTAGTGATTTGCAATGGACCCTGGCTGCTGCCACTGTCGATAGCCTCGGGCTAATTTCAGATTCTGACTAACAATCGTGCTTTTTCTCCCTTGTTGTTGTTTTCTCTGTTTCGTTGTCAGCTTCTTCGAAACAGGCCAAATCCTTGACTCGCACCCAGTCCATGATGACCCCATCCAATTTTCTGAACAAATCGCCGGTCAAAACTGTGCTGAACAGTTTAGCTATCAGTCCGAAGCGAAAACCAGTCTTGGAGAAACAATTCGACCCGTCCCAGACAAACGGTCGCGTCCGTGGAGTGTTTCGTGAGGATCCGACATGGTCGGTTGAAAAGGGCCTGTTATTGAAACGTCGTGCCGAGTTGATTGCCACGCTGGTACGTTGGTAGCATCCGTGACGGTTGTTTTTGTTGTTGTGTGACTAGTTGAGTCTGACTATCTATAGTTCAAATGTGGCTATTGCATTAAACAAATAGGTACTTATCCGTAGATCACCTCGTTCGTTAAGTGAGACACTTAACCAATAGACAGTCTCTATAGACTGTATAATCTACTGTGTCTCTCACGCACAGACGATATTGCCGCATTTGACCTCATTGGGTAAGCTCCGGAAAATAGTCCTGCATACGTGGGGAACAGCCCAAAAACCAACTTGGTCGAATACAATGATGATATTGGTCACTGGATGCCTAGGCCTTCACTTGACCGACGATGTCCGTTTGTCTAATCGTGATTGAATCATCACCTAATCTGCACCAACCTCCCTAACGATCGCAATCCATCAATCCAGCCAGCCGACTGGGCAGAGAAGCTAGTCGTGCGAAATATGCGAGCCGTGTAATATTGCATCTGTATAACTTTTACAAGCTGAGATATGCTTACATTTCAGTTGAACAGACTCAGGAGGCGTTTTTCTTTCGCAGCTCAACCATATGACATGTCTTTCAATTAACTCACGCGGCATCATCGGTATACGCCTATCGGGCGGGACACAATATGTCTGATTTTTCATTAAGAAATGATTGAACTGTGGGAACTTTCTGTCAGTGAAAAAAACCTTGAGCTTTTAAACTTCGACTTTGCCTCCTATAGATTCATGGAACCTTGGCATACATTACTCAGAAAAGCTACTCAAATAAACCCTATTTAACTAGTGGTGAACAAACGAATCCGTAATGAGTTAAATCCAACACAACATGCAAACCCCTTCACTTGTTACTCGTACAAATGGGTTGGAATGGCTGATACGAGCACAACACAGACTATTCACTTTTTAGATAAATTTTCATTCTTCTACGACTCTGCTACAGCAAGTGATGCAGTGCACCAAGTCGTTTGATCCCAAGTACGTCTGTGTCGTGAAAGGTCAACCGTTCAGTGTGGAATGCAATATTCTCTTTAAAAAAATATGATCGATCCACACACGGTCGAGGAAAGAAAAGCAAAAGGGATTAAGACGTGAACTGAAAAGCTATGAAAGCACTGCCATATACTAGACGACGAATTTCCCCCTTTGAAATCGAATCAAATCCTCAATTATGCCCATGGATTAAGAATCCGATGGTTTGGAACATGGAACACCGGTCCAACCTTTTCCACATTTGTGTACGCTCGCCATCCCATGGAATTATCCACCACCACCAACCAACTCCAGAATATTGACATTTGAGTTCCTTGTTGAGACTGACGTGGCCAAAAACAATGTTCTTTCCAACTACGCGCTCTTAGTCAGTTTGGTTGTAGGAGCCAGTTCTCGATCTGGTATCTGTCGTTGAGTGTGTGTGTGTGTGTGTGTGTTTCGAACGTCATCCTTGGCGTACCTCAGAATCGGATATTTCCCACCCCGCGATTTGTTTTCCGATACCATCGATCAGATACGGAAAAGTTGCAGGTCTTATTGATTCACATACCGGCTTTCAGAGAATATCCTCCAAACTGTTGGGTAGGAAGGGAGGACGGCTATCCGGTCTGCGATAGGATGATGTTTTCGAATATATGGAGCACTTGGTCATCCTGTATTACATCTCTTGTATTCGCTCATTAATGCTGCATCATTGTAAGCCAACTGGTTTGGTTACCTTTTCTACTCCGTTCACTTATCGCCCACTCTCGCTTCACTTCTTTCTCGTGTGTTTTTCGGAGGTGCTAAATTTGAACGTCAACCTTTCTCGTTTAGCTCCAGTACCACACAACAGGTAGTTATTCTCAATGGAACAATCAATCTGTAACTTTCCGAATGATACATTGTCATCTACTCCGTGCCCCAGTAAACTCTCTCTCTCACACACACACAGGAGGGTGCATA